CATTTTTAAGAATAATAGTTATTTTTAAGGATGAATTTTTGTAGAAATATTTTGATAATGATTATATGTTTTTAAACATAACTCCCAAGTGTATAACATACATATTATCGGACTCAAATGATCTAAATAATCATTAATTAGTAAGAAAATAGTCTTACTCATGTAAGAAAGAATCCCATATCCAATCTACTTATACAAAAAGATATTTAGAATCATTTGATGATGTCTAAGACATCTTGTTTACTTGACAAAAGGACATGCATCCCCTTTTAGCGAGAAAAAGAGAAAGAGTTGCTAATCAATATAATCCTTATGTATAGAGATGTATATGGCTATATATTCACCCAAGGAAGAGGAGAACATGCTTGTCACATAACCATTAATGATTGTGGATCATGTTATGGTTATGAGACATAAGTCTAAAATATTTAAAATGTTTAAAAGTTTAGACTTGAAAAGTCATATGACGAACTAGCAAAAGTTTTTTAAAGCATCCCAATTAGATCGAGAAGCTGAATACTTAAATGCTAAAATGTTAGATCACTTAAAAGAGAATGAGATTCTATATGGGCATCACATGTTAGACATGATCGGTCCATGATGAGTTGAATTAATATCCCTAATTATGAATGAATACTTTGTACTGCAATCTTTGAAAAGAATAGGATTCTAATATATTGAAATAGATCACATATGGGATATGGAAAAGGAAAAAGATGAATTAATCTTCCCTTAAGATTTAAGGCTATAAAATGTATGTCAAAGGGTTTGACAAAGACAAAATAAAACCTAAAATCAATAAAGTGCCAAATTGTAAGATATCCTAAAGTAAGATTAGGATGTCAATATTTTACCATTAGAATAAAGTTTTGTTCCTTATTAAGCACATTATGTTCCTTGAGAAGGAATTTTTTGGATGCTTAGAAATAATGAAAGGAAATTTAAACTCAATAAGATTTGAATAGACTCATAAATTAACACTTTAATAATAAAGTCCTAAAGTAGAATGATTACAAGGTGTTGTAACTATCTCACAAATAAAAAAACAAGAATTTTAAAAGTTTAAAACAAATTCATCAAAAAGACAGAAAGGATATGATCTTTTCATCTTAACAAATTACGATGTGAGCCACTAAAAGGGATGACGAAGCTAATACTTTTGAAATGACAATGTTAGACATCGATTTCTATAAAAGGCAAATAAAGAGGATGTATAGTTGACAAACCCTAATGGTTCCCAAGAACATGTAAATAAGATTTACGAAAGGGCTAAAGTCTATTAATAGACTTAAGCAAGCATCTAGGAATATAAGTCCATGTTTTATGAAACGATCAAAGGGTTTGATTATTTATCAAAATAAAGACATATCTTATGCATATAGGAAGCTAAAGGGAGCCTACTAAATCATGGTTATTCAATATAATATTACACCTCGACTATAATATTATCATGTTGCGGACAAAAGATTAAGAAGTCCGGAAAATTTTTTCCAAAGATGACATATGAGAGAAACCTATAATCTAAGAATATAGATCTATAGAGATAGATCACTTGGAATATGAGAAGTCTCTCAAGTTAGTTAAAATGACATGATACTAAAAGGTTTAGTATGGAACAATCAAGGAAAGTTTTATTCCAATGTCATATAGTTTAATGACCGATAACAAAAGATCCATAGCACAAGCTAAGGAACCAAGGTCTCATCAACGGTCCAAGCAAGTACTATAATACTATTACTTGATTATAGAGATAAAAAGGTCATGATAATATAAGGATAGAAAAGGTCCATATTGATGATAACATAGCAAACCCCTTGACTAAGCCTTTGTCACAACAAAAACATGAGTCCCTCATTTGATCGTCGAGATTAAGGGACGTGATCTGGTTGGCTCTAGTGCGAATGAAAGATTGTTAGTGTAGGTGTCCAAAATCTAACCATGTATGGATGGGCTTGAGTTGATGTATCATTGCATTATTTATTTTGATAATAATAAAGAAGTCATTCCGTTAATTCTTTTGTTTACATATTCGACATAATTAGATAGAAGGTCTTATGATATACATTTGCAATAGTGATTGATCGAAAGATGTGAGACAAACACTAATGCATATAAATGATATCATTAAATGTCCCAAGTCGTTGCATTTTCAAGAATGGACATTGATAAATGTGGATAGACTTGTGAGTCGTATGCCTATGCTATATGATAGCGAGTAGGAGATCTCACACATATTGTCATGGTAATGCCAAAGCAAGCGACTTAGGTGATTTATGTTAGAGAACATGTCACTGGACTTGACTCACCATGAGAACCAATTTGGTTTAAATATATGAGAATCTTATACAAGATAGGTACAAATGGTCCTTAGATTAAAATCATCACGGTTATCTCATTTGATGACTTATGCACTTTGACACTCGTTTGATGAACCCATTAATGGGTTACACGTGAGCGATTCATTGGATGCAATAGGAATCTAATGGAGGTAGGTGTATGACTAAGATAGGACATGTCATTCCTTGTATGCTAAAGGAGTTATCGCATTGTGGTTCGATAAATGTCTTCTCAATAAATCTATAGCCAAAGTAGAAGTACACTAATAGAGCATAGTTGGTTTACTATAAGAGCTAAGACATTTGAGAATCGAAGAAAACTTGTGTGATCATGATCGAACAAGACTAATAACCAAGTTTGAGATCACACCATGATAAGTTGACAATGATTGAATTGTATGGTAGCTATGCTCGTGAAAGGTAATAATGGATTAACTAATCTTTCTAGAGAATTAGGTAGTCATGATGCCTTGTTAAAGGTCAATCTTGATTTATATATCAAGAGATTAAAGATGAGTCTTTTATTCTTGATACATTACCAACATATCTAGAAGTCTATTGAGTCACACGCATAAGTTTAAGTATTCATATTACAAATGAGAAGAAAATGTATCGAAAAAATTTTTCAATTATAAAAGTTTTTTATTTTGAAAAGAGTTTCCAAAATGAAAAGTTTTCAAAAATGAAAATTTTTCTATTTTAGAAATCGATTTCCTAATTTGAAAGTTAGTTTCAAATTTAGAAATAAATAACCTAAAAGGAAAAGAGTTTCCTAATTTAGGTTAAAATGTATTTTGAAAAATTATTTTCTAATGTGGACCTCGCTAAAATAATCTAAGAATATTTATTTGGATAGTCTAAATAAATTAATTGGGTTAAAATAGTTTTGACTCATTAGATTTAATTAAAAAGCTTAAAGATAATTTTGGTGGGAGGATAACCATCAACCTTATTAAATAAGGTTTAATGTTTTAAAGATAAATATCAATCTTATTGGATAAGGTTGAATATTTTAAAGATAATAATCAAATAGTCCACATACAAAATAACTCATCATTCTTGGAGGATAAGGAAGCAACAACCTAGAGTCTTTTATGGACTTATAGTCGCCACTCTCCTTGTCTTTGGAGGACAAGAAAACTCTATATAAATATATATGAGAGAGAGAAAATTCGGCTAACACAAGTAAGGAAAAAAGAGAGAAAATTTGACCGACCTCTAAAATCACCTAAGGCACATTGCCAAGAGAAAAAAAAGAGGAGAAAATAGTTTTGTCGTAAACCTTAACAAGAAATATTCTTTCCTTCTTTTTTAAGATTGTCGCAAAATTTATCGAGATTGATTTTTAGAGGAAATACAAAATCGAAAAAAGGTGGAGCTAGCACCCTATTAATTCGAGTGCTTCTTTGTGGATACTTTGATTGCATAGATCATTAATAGAGGTCGGACATTTGGATGACTTTGTTGGAACAAAGTTTAGATTTGCACTACAAGAGGTAATCATTTACTTATAGCTTATAATTCATGTATGTATGGTTAGTAGATTCAACGGCTTAATCTTGGAGTCTTAGATGGAGAAATTTTTTATTTATTTATTCCGTACCTCCATAGGATGCATGATCTTTTATCATGGACTCACCTTCTTCGAAACTCTATCCGTAATATCTCTGTTTATAGTGATGTCGACTAAGGTGGTTGCTTAGATGATAGAAAATCCACAACATGATTTGCAATTTATGTTGGCTTCAACCTAGTATCCCGGTGTTCTAGAAAACAACGAATAGTGGCATGAACCTCTACGAAACGAATATCAAGCCACGACAACAATATCTTCGAAGTTCTCTCGGCTCTGTTCATTATTTCGGGAGCTTGGGTTTACTCTCCCACATGCCCCGGTTATATGGCGTGACAACATCGGTGTCACATACTTCACTCGCAAATCCAATTTTTCATTCTCGTTCTAAACATTTGGAAATAGACTTCTATTTTGTGGAGGATAAAATAGCTATCAAGGAACTTCGGTTTCCTACATATCCACCAATGATCAAATTGCCAACATCCTCACCAAATCCACTTCAAGATAGAAGTTTCAACACTTTAGAGATAAGTTGATAGTCCTTCCACCTCCCATCAACTTGAGGAGGAGTGATAAGTATAACATTCAATGTAGAGTTCATCGTTAGATATAACTCTATTTGTATAGTTATTGTAATAATCTCATGAATATCTATATAAATAGCCTATTGTATTACGGATATAATGCAATGCAATCGCAACAACTCTGAATCTCTGTAACTTGATAACTCTTTCATATTCTACATGCTCATGGTTAAGCTTCGCTTAATCAACACAGAAAATTTAAGGAGCTACTTCAAGGAAATAAAATAACAATATTTTTCATACTCCATAGGATTAAAAAATGCACAAAAATTACGTGTGAGTGGCTGACAAATAGATTTGAAAAGTTACATAAGTCTAAGAAAATTTGACTGTCTTATGCATACAATCCTCAGCAGTCATACATTTGCTAAGGTATTTATTGTGTCATGGCATATATGATTTCATCAATTCGTACTGATCATTACCACTTTACCACCTTTAAATATGACAAGAACCCATTACCGAAAAGGAAGAGGAAAAAAAAAGAAAAGAAAAAAACTTGAAATGCAACATGAAGGCAAATGGAAAAACGTGCATGGAATGATGGAAGCTGCGGAAGAACCTGCATCGTCTGTCCTGATGCGACTCCACGTACAGCCAAAGAACACTGGAAAAGAGACGTGTAGCTACGTAATTAGGTATTCTTGTAGATTTTAGATGCCTGTTTCTTTCTCTAAGAAAAGACCGTGGTCGGTTCTAGCTCCAAATTACGTTATTACCCCCAATAAACTTTTATACAGAAATATACTTATCTTTTTTTTTTTTTTTTTTTTTACTTTTTCATATGCGTTCAAAATCTCACGAATGATTCGTTGTTGAAAATTCGGAATTGAGTTTAGGCCCACAAATTCGACCTTATCAGTGAAAAACTGGTGGGCCACCACATTAATTGATCAGATTTCAGGAGAAGAGAAGGAAAGATCTCCTTGACAAAGATGGCGCCTGATCCCACCAAATTGTTTAATCAGGTGGATACGAGCAGATCTTGGCAACCATATTTTCTTGGCCGATTGCCTTATGAAGAAAATGATTGATCATTATAGCCACGTCACATGAAATGAGAATGTTTTTTTTTTGGGAAAAAAATAAAAATAAACACGAGATGAGATGAAAAACTTCAATATTTTTATGCCATCTGCTTAAATTCAGCTCAATAGAATAATTAAAATTGATAAGATTTTTATTTATCTCTGTATATTGATTTTATCTTTTTAAATTAATTAAATCATATCATTTTTACTGTAGTTGTCATTCAATTGAAATCACTATTTTCATCACATAATTTTATCAAATATATATATATATATATAAACACTTCTTGATGATCTTATTTTTAAATTTGAAACAATATATATTGCATTGCATGTATAAAAATACTGATCTCAGATCATCCAAACTTTTAAAAATACCATTTCTTTATTTACAAGAGCAGTGTTGATTTTAAGTAAATTATAAATTAGTTTTTTTAATTTTGATAAATAAATTAATTACGTGTTTTTTTAAAAACTAATTATTTAATTTCTTTATCACATTTAATTCAATATTATTTTATTTTAAAAAATATTTATTTTTTCTTCAATCTTTATATATATATATATATATATATATATAGAAAAACAAAACAAAGTAAAAAATGACCCTCTGTTTTCCGTTGTGCTAGAACTTTGCAATTTGCATGCCCAAAAATCAAGTAAATTACAACCCTGGTCATTTCACTGGATGATTATTTCGAGTTCTGGAGTTCACGGGTCTCATTGGAAATACAAACCCAGTGGGTAACTGGAGCGCTGAAAAAGATTGCAAGCCATGTTTTGACAAATTTGCCAGAGCTTACCTAGAAATGTCAAAGGCTGCAATGTCATGTCAACTCACTTAGATACCATAGCTTCTGTAAAAAATCTTACAGTACCACTTAACCCGACGACGAGGGGATTCTACTGTACAGTTAAGAACAAACCACGTGGTCAAGCTAATGACATCAAAGGCCGTTGCTGTGTTTTGGATTGTTCATATCAAGTGGCAGGTAAACAACAAAAACTTAACACATCATCGATTTTTTTTGTTCAAACAAATTGCCGATATATATGGACGCAAGTGTTTCTTCCTGACTCTTGGGTTTTAACTTGAGAGAGTAAAGAAGGTAAAAAGTTTCGACCGTACCATTCACTCTTTCTACCTGTTTTACATATTTTCTTTATTCTTGAATTTTATACCTATTTCTTCGTTTGGAGTCACAAATACATGTCCATTTTTTTTTTAGTTTAATATTAAAATTCAATTTGAAATTTAATTTACAAAAGTATCTAAAAATATATATGTGGTTTTTAACACTTCAAACTCTCAGCCAAAATACTAAGATTTGTAATATAAATACCTGGACGTTTTATAAAGAAATAGTAAAATGCTATTTTTTGGATTCCATTTGTCAGAAACATGATCAAAATGAACGCCTTAATGGATTATAGAGGGCAAGGCTTTTTGTAGCCCTTCGAGCCAAAATATTGACTTTGTTATGCAAAATAATATAAAATCATCAATTATTCTCACCCCCACCTGAACATCAAATTAAAAAAATAAAAATCATCTCGTTGTGGTTTGATGATATATTTTGCCATTGTAATTATGACATGTGGAAGTGAATGCGTAACGGGTCCTACTGGCTTGAAGGTCTAATGCAGTGTTATTAGACCCGGACCGACCTGGCCGGTCTAACTGGTGAACCGGACACAAGCGAATTCAGTTATGGAAAAAGACCACTTATTAGACAATTGACCCTGTAGAATCCCGATGAACAGTAACATTTTTTTCATGGACAGGCAAGCCCATTGACCCGGACGGTTCAATCTCTTCTTCAATTATCAGATAAAAACAAAAAAACAAAAATAGGTATTTGCACTCAATAATTCTGATAAAATAGTTGAAAATCCTATCTTCCGCTATAGAGTTTGATTTTGAAATCAAGAGATTGTAGATCTTGAAAGAGTTCTGATGTTTTTGCATCTTATTCTTGGAAGAAAACTTGACATTATTGATTGTTTATTTCTTTCGATTTTGCTCTAATAAAACCCAACTAAGTATTGGCAATTGCTGAAGAAGAAAAGACGTAGAAACAGAAACAAAAAAAAAAAGACGATTTTGATGGAGATTGCTGAAATGGGTAATTAGGAGGTTGAAATGCTGGATACCATTTTGCTTAACAAAGAAGCTTTTATGGCAATTAAGATGTTGAAATGCTCTAATTGGTGAAGCTTCCTTTTTCAAGGTGGGATTTTTTTATTTTTTTATTTTTTTAAGAACCCATGTAAAATGGTGTACAAGAGTTTTTATTAATAATTTTTCTTAAAAAAAATTATAATAATAACAGCAATGAAAAATTCGAAAAGGTAAAAAGAGTCAAGAATCAAACCCTTGCCACATATGTTGTACATACATGCCTCTTATAAACTGTAAGTAGGGAACAATGACCCGCCGGTCAAACCAGTAAATCAGGGATCTAGAAGCTTTTTCAGTTCAAGATCCGGTTTGATTCTGATAGCATTGGTCTAAAGAGTTGAAAGGGTCAAAGTAGGAGACCTGGTTGAATTTACATTTCGAACTGTCTAGTTCACAGGTTTGAGGAAGGATATTTGACAGCTTAGTCAAAATTATCTGCAGGCGCGAATGCTGATAGGTCAATGCCGGTTTCAAATTAGATGAAACAAACACATCACATCGAGCGCAGGCAAGTTCCAAGAACGTATAGCAGGACTAGGCTCATATTGCCCATTTAATATATTTCTACTTTTTTATTACTCCTACTAAACACAGCAGGAGTAATGAGGCTGGAGAATTTGAGTTGGAACCTCTTCTTTTTGTTTTTGATCAAAACTATGTGTGAATAGTCTTTCTTGTTTTGTTGTTTGTTGGACAGAGACTTTGTTTACTTACAGTAATAGAAAAGTACATATTATATGTATCGGTTTAGGTACCAAATATTTTGTTTAATGTGTTTGGGATTCATGCTGCCCAAAAAGTTGTCCGCAGTTTCCTCCAAATATGCCCGGCAACATCCGCTAAAATTAGGGCATAGTACATTCACACTTCACGTGGTAAAGAGGTAAAAAAAAAGAAAGAAAAAAATTATATACTCCACAATGATGAAATGAAGAGAAATTTATTTTGTCACGAGAAAGTGATATGATAGTAGACAGACCAAATCGTGATTAAAAATGAAATAATAATATATAAAAAATTCACATACTTACCAATTAGTTGAAAGACTTCCAATGCATGAAGAAAGCGTCTAACTCATGCAACCAGGGAAAACAAAAGGCAAAAAGTACAATATCAAAACTTCTTCTCTCCATAAGATTTTTTATTTTCATGAACGATCAAAGCAAAACAAAATTAAATCAGAAGTCACGGAGTTGAGATTAAGAATTCTGCAGAGTGCACGGCGACAAATGGCAAGGGTGCACATATAGAATATTTTGGGATTTGCCCTAAAGGAAGCTATTGCCCTCTTTGCCCTAATGATGGCCTTTTTGATTATTTTGCACAAATACCGGACTATTTTGTAACTTAGCTTTAATCATGTAAGCAGCCTATGATCAAGTTGACATGACCTCAACTAATATTCTTTAATTTCTTGAGGCACTATAGTTGATTTTATGAAGGAATATGATTACATGTTAACAATACCTATAAGTAACAATCCTCACTACCCTAGTCTCCCAAAAACAAAAAGGAAAGAAAAAAAACAGATGATTGCAACTACATTTGTCATTTTCCTTCTCTAATCAATCTTCAACCATCTTGGTAAACAACAAGAAGAAGTGTGTATTTTATCTAACACAAGTTCTGAGTAATTTAGTCTAACTCAAAATTTAAAGCTATCATCAATCTTCAATTATCTTGGTAAACGACAAGAAGAAGTGTGTATTTTATCTAACACAAGTTCTGTGTAATTTTATCTAACTAAAATTTAAACCTATCATGGTCCTTTGAACCGTTGCCACAGGAACCTTTTGGACTATGCTAGTCAATCGTTGAATTATCTCCTCAAACGATGGACGTTGTTCGGGATCACTGCTTGCATAATTGAAACAAAGAATTAGTCTCCATCAACTTACAAGTTCCCATTTCCTTACTTAAAAATAAAAATAATAGTATTGGTATATTTAGGAAGCACCTTCGCCAACAGTCACTGATAATAGATGCTACCTTGGGATTAAGGCTTTCTGGTAATTCTAACCTTCTATCCATGAAGCCTACAACTCCAACTACCTTTTAAATGGAAGAAACACACTTCAGTGAAATTTTATAAAGAAGCGAATTGATATTTATGTGTCAGTCATTAAGGTAACATGGAGAGATGCATATTAGGAGTGATATACCTGTAAGGAATTTAACTTGATCCATGGAATGGACAGAGTCATTAGTTCCCATAGGATGACACCGAAGCTGAACACATCAGACCTGTGCAGATGCAGGGCATGCATACACTAATTTTCAGAATATTATGGGTGAGGAAATAATGAATAAATTAGAGAAAAATGACCCTTCTTTGATTTGGCTAATAAGTGAGGTTTAATGATTTCTGCTTGAACACCATTGACTGCTGAACAAGAAACCAGTTATAAGGTGTCCAGGACATTTAAGAGTTAAGAATGCTAGATGATGAAAGAGGGACCATGTCCCCTCCACGTTCTATGTTAGTTAAGGAAAGCAAGCAATTGTATTGAATCTGTTTAGCATAAAAGAAGAAAACAAACACTTGCATTTGTAGATTAACAGGGTTTAGTTTCATGAATTACTTTTCATTTGAAGGTTCATTTCGGAGGACTTCAGGGGCCATCCATTGAGGCTGCACGGAGAAAAATAAAGTGGTTCAACATTTGCAGACAAATGCATGAAAACTGACAACATTGTGGACCATTGTATTGGCACAATTGGAAGCTTAGAAATTAAAGAAATTTCCTCAACATTTGGAGAAGATGATAAAAGAAAAGGGCAAAGAACATTACAGTTCCTCTTCCAGATTTTGCAGTTAAGAAGGTTGCATACTTCCACTTCGACAGGCCAAAGTCTCCAACCTGAAACGGACATTAGATGGTTTTTTAAGCAATTGCCAAATGCCAAGTATGCTTGAATAACTTATGGCATCTATTTGAATGTTACCTTGACAGTCCAGTTTTTATCAACAAGCAGATTAGAAGATTTTAGGTCTCCATGCACTATAGGTGGATTTCTATGATGCAAATAGTTCATGCCTCTAGCCTGCAGTAAAAGTCAAAACTGTAAGGCCTTGTGTGTCAGTTGAAAAGCACAAGCAGCCGCTGTTGCACTTTGAAATAACAGATAATCATACAACGTCAAGGGCCATCTTCAGACGCCGCCTAATGTCCAAGGCCTGGCTGTTTTTGTGAAGTGTCTTGAAAAGACTTCCCCTGCCACAAAAAACCAGAATGAATATAAGAAAGATTAGCCCTCTCAAGAAATCAAAACATATAGGAGGAGAGCATGCATCCATTAGCCCTGCATTTATTCCATCCCCAAGATGCATATAAACCCATCAATCATCTAAATGAGAGCAAGTAAAACAATAAACTAGAAGCACTACATTTTAACAGAACATAAAACAGCAGCTCTAGGAGCCTTGGTCACTACCATCAGATGATAACTCTTTAGTACTTAAAAAGAGAGCTTGTCATTACCTGGGTAAGAACTCCGTGACAATGGCAAGTCGTTCTGGTGAATATACTCCTCCCATAAATAGCAAAACATTTGGATGCCTAAGTCTTTTCATTATATTGATCTACATGAATGAGATCCATTGATCATGTGTTTCCTTCGAGAAAAGAAAATTACAAAAAATTGAAAGCCGAGTATATAAGCACCTCCTTTTGGTAGTCTAGTAAAGTTTCTTCATTGTATTGATTCCCAAAATAAATCTTAACGGCAACGTCCTGGTGACAAACAAAATCTTTTCAGGTCAAGGTTAATTTGGAACTCAGAACAAGAACATTGAACAAGTTAACAATTTTACCGATCCACTCCAAATTCCATGATAAACAGCAGCATATGAACCTGTACAGCAAAACAAAGATAAGAGAGGAATTTTAAGAAAAATTGTCTAGTATCCACCAATCCGCATTATTTTCCTAAAAGGTAATAATAGTCAAAATCATCTAATATAATGAAGTAGTTCAGATAGATGATCAAAATTAGAACAGCAACTGTACTTTTGCCATGCACTTCAGACAAAGTCTCATTACATTAATGAAATATGCTATACTTGAATATCAACATAAAATGTTCTGAACGAAGATCAAGTTTATTGTTATCAAGCCCATTGTTTTATGGACACAAAATCTGCTGAAACACTTCAAAATTCTTCCCATCATATCATGCCTTCAAGCCAAGTTAGCCTACACATACGCATTCAGACGTAAACATTTTAAAGCACAATATATGTAACAAAGGTAAAGACATATTATGCCTTTGAAGTTTACCTTGCCCAATCTCCTCTCCCAGTTGTAGGTCTTCCCACTGAATCTCACAGTCCACCACACAATTTGAATCGTGATCCCCTTTGCTTGATGAACTTCCAAGGCTGCCAACAGTACTCTCCGCATGACTTGGAAACTGTCTACCATCTGCCTGTCGTTGTGTATCATCTTCTACCCCGGAGGATTCAAATTTTGATGCTTCTGGCTCCAATTCATTCCCATTCTGTTGGCAGACCAGTTTTTGCAGCTGATCTCCTGGTTTAGCTAGCCCATGACGTTCATTGCGTTCTGTGCAAGAGGCTACAAGACAATTCTCTTCCGAAGCATTAGGGCTTGCATATGCATTTGGACACACCCTTTTAAATTCCAAGGTGGAATCTATTCTCCGTGGAATTTCTTTTCCAGCATCATTGTTGCAGTAGTGAGAAGGTGGTGCCTTCGGACTTGCAAGATCATTAGTTTCAAGCATCGCTTCATTTCTTTGTGCAACATTTCGAGGGCCATCCTGTTGAGCACTGGCATCATTTTCTTTTCCAAGGTCGCCAATGCCTTTGATATTCAGCTTTGCCAACACCTTAGCTGCCTGTAAGCCATTTCAACCAAACAATTAGCAAAATTGATAACAAAGAAAGAGACAGCCTATACAGAGAAGTAAATTATTAAGGATTTAACTGTTCAAAATTGTCACCATCGATTAACATTCACTGGGTGATCCATGTCCGAAAATATAAAAAAATCAATTCAATTCATTCCATTCTAATCAATAGAAGTGAAAGGTTTTGATAAAATTTGTTAATAAAAAAAAGTACAGTTTGAAATCAAATTAAAGTCTTTTGGATAGAAACTTGTGTCTAAAACTAAAGTGTATATTTCAATTGGATGATTAATGAATCTATTAAAATGCATCCAGAACCACTGCAAGCATAATGTGTTCCAAACTAGCGCTGTTATGTTAGGTAGCTTAAGTAGCATTTAAGAACTATGGTAAAGTCAATACAATTTTAGAAGGTTGAACGAATTCAAACAGAGATTCATCTTTTTGAGGGCTCTTCGCATCTTGGAAATCAGAATTGAGTTTCGCCTCCTACAATAATAAAACTTCAGCTTAACATTTCCTTTTAACAAATTTATAAAACAAGGTTAAACCAGGGTTAGAAAAAATTGAGACTTACTAGTTCACCGGGCATCTCCGATCTTAAGTTCCGAGTATCTGTTGCAGTATGTTCTTTGTCTGCAGAATTTCCATGTTCATTACATGTGTTATCACCATTTTTTCGAGCCAATAGTTTTGAGGCCTGATTGGTTAAACAGCACAAGGGCATAAAACATCTGAGAATGAAAATAAAAATAGAAAAAAGATAGGAAAAAAATCTATGAAGTAATACACATAAGCACCAGATTGGAAACTGACGATGCAATCTGTGGCACCGGCGCAATTGGCGGTCGCGGGTTCCATTGAATCTTTTTCAAGTTTATCCTTGGTAATCTAGCACGATCTTGATGTCTTCTCAGGTTTTCTGAGTCTGCAGTGTTAAATATTGCTGCATCACTTGAAACAGTGACAATACCAGCAAGCTCACCGTCCTCATACAAGGGGCTTTTTGTGACCATCGCCATAAATAAGTCACCCGATCTTTTCTTAAATGGAAACTGACCAGACCATGATTGTCCAAAGCTCAGCCTTTCCATTATCTTCTTCAGACGCGCATAATGATCTTCAGCTATAAGGAGTTCGGTAACACTTTGTCCGAGGACTTCATAGTCTTTCCATCCATATAGATTTTCAGCAGAACGATTCCTGATAGAAATTTGTAGATCAGCTAAAGGGCAACATATGAACATGCACCTTACTTTCCATCCATAAATAGAATATGCTAGTTATGATACAAAGCTATTGGAGGAAAACAAGAAAACAACCAGTTGCTTTTACAGATTTTTTTTCCTTCATTCAAATCCTTAATAACCTTTTATGAACCAATTAAATTAAAAAATAAATAAATTATGTTTTAATTAACCTTGAACACACTTGGGAGAACAATCTATATATAATAGTTCAAGTATCAAAGCACAACCATATTCTGCTTTTTTTTTTAAAAAAAGAATTTGAACCAGTTCAGATTTATGATATCTGAGGTGAATTAAAGCTTGCTATTCTTTTTGTTTTTTTTTTTAAATTAAAACTGAGACGCTTTTCATGTTATGATAGCGCACTTGACACCCTATGGAGCTGGATTGCAATCCAAACTAGATTATTGAATGGCCGCAATCTAAGCAGGAGATTAGTGCTTTATGCAAATACGGGTCTAAATTATTCTAAATCATAAGTTCACGAGGGAATATTGCAGATGACGCGTTAGCTATCTAAGTGCAGCCTTGACACTTATTACTTTGCTGGACTCTTAACAATATGTCCTAATTGAGTTTTCTTGGATTTTACAGTAAAGTTCAATCATTCAGTGATCTGCCTTCAGACTCCTACCTTACATTTCAGAACTGAGAAAAATAGTCACAGTAGTGTTTAAATTAATGTTTACCAATCTGCTCAATGCATTATTAGCCATGCTCATTAAACAAACTACACAAAATTTTAGGCTAACCAAGGATGTGCCACATGATATGTTAGGTTCAACTTGATATTCTTCACTGTATAGGATTACTTCAGTTCAGCAATCGCACAACACAACACTGCGAAGTGGTACCAGAACACAGAATCAACCAACTTGTAAATGGTGCAACAAGAAATACACAATAAATATTTGAGGTGTTAACAACATTTCAATAAGCCTTAACCCATATATAAAATAAAGTTATGAAAGAGTGCATGCATATACAAGAATTAACTTTCCAGAAAACCTTCAATGTGAATTAACTCCCATCAAAAACATCTTCACAGTTGCTGTGGCCACTCACCAACGTACAAATTAATGGGTGCACTATATGCGTAAGGCAAAACGCTTCTAAATTTCCAATTTTTTCCCTTCCTAATTAAACAATCTCCGTTATGTAGACAATTCTTTTTCTTTATGACTGTTTCAACTTCCATCTAATCTTTAATCGCTGTCGTCAAACACTTTTCAACTTGTATCCTGAATTAGTACTGTTTTGCCAAACACATACACCCTAAACTCAAACTAAATAAACCAAAAAATGGACCAATCAAAATTAACAATCCAAAAGCTAGTCAATAAGCCGAATAAAAGCTATAGATATATACTCAAAACTATATTTATCTAATTCAAAATTTACCTACCAATATACAATTTCTCCTGAGGAAGCACTACACATATGAACAGCATGACCAATGGACTCCAGAACGCTCTTATAAGGACTCCCAGTAGTGAAGTGTCCAGGAATACACCCCCAACAGGAATCTGACATCACCTCACCAGCATCTGACATAGCCACAACCTCACTATAAATCATTTTTCTTTTCTCATCAGTCTTCATAAGTTTACTCATTTGCTGTTTCAACTTTGCGTGACTCGCTTCAAGACTCAAACACCGATCCACCAAGACTGGGTACAAACTCGCCCCTGACTCGTCATCACCACCGCCATTTTTCTCCCCGGAGATTCGCATCGTGATGGCGGTGGTGGTGCGAGCTTTTGACAGGACAATACTTGTTTATTACCAAGGTGGTCGTCGTTTTTTTAATACTATATATTTTTGTTTAGTTATAGTAGTGATGGAATCTTGAGACTAAAGGGTTTATCCACGTGTAATAGGCCGGCAAGAATGAACGATCAGGTATGGACAGGTGTAACATTCGGAATGCAAAGCCCGAATAGGGAAAGAGAAGATAGGTTTTGTTATTGGTTAAGTTGGTAGAAGCTTTTTGTCTCCTCACCAATCAACCTTAAAATGCGTGTTTTGTATTTATCTTGTTCCGGAAATACCCCTACATTTGCGAACAAAGCGTTACGTGAATTGATGACCTTGCCGCCTTCACCCTCCACTGTATTCAATCAATTTTTTTTTTTTTTTTTTTTGGGGTATTCAATCATTTTGCAACTTGTAAATGTAGCTTTAGTCGAAATCAAGGGAGATGATCTTGTGGGTGTGGTTGTATGATCTTCTATGAATTTTTCAAATTAGAATTCTTACATCAATTCATTGATTGATAGAAATCAAAGGCAGCTAACTCGCTGAATGTTGTTTGGAACTGAAGTTGGAATTGATTTGAATTAGCAGGGTCAAGATGAGACAGAATTTTATTGTGTATTTTCTTGTTTGATATTTATATGCTTCCAACTTGAATAGGATTTAATTGAATGAAGAAAAGGGGTTGGATTACTATATATATCATGTTATTTTTAATTTGGGTGTATCTTAATTTAGATGTCTTTTAGCGAAACTTAGATGCTGCCTCTTTAGGAAATCAACAATTCATAAGTGATATAAATAATTTAGGACAGGTGCAAGATGATTAAAGATAAAAGGGAGATGATGAAAGTTCTCAAGTTGTACTGTGGTCTTCTCCATAACCAAAAAATTGGGATGCATCTAAGTCGCTCTCAAAACTCGACACTAATTAAGTCGTCGTCATCATCTCATCATCAAAAAAAAGACGGCACAATTCAGCAATGGACCCGCAGTGTATTATAAAAAAGTCAACTTATGGATTTTCTTATGCTTCCCATACCATGAAGACTCATAGTTAACCCAACTACACCTCCACTAGATTCTTACTAATATTGCTACTCTTATTGGATCATATCCGAGTAATGGTGAGGTACATCCAATCAAAATCAAAATCACAATCACAATTTCTTTCATTCTTAAATAAAATTTTATCATCTTCTTTCAAATCTCTTTTTTTTTTTTTTCTTTTTTCCAAACAGTAAGATAATAGTTTCTCGAAAATAAAAAAGAATACTTTTTGGATAACACTTAATCTATTCGTGAAAAATCTAATCCAAATTTAACTGTTTTTCTTTCCTGAAATCTTGAGTTTGAAACTCTCTTTCTGTTTTTATTTTTTAAATTATTATTATTATTTTTTAAACCATTAAAACCTAGAAGAAAGAAAAATTTAGGATTCCCTTGTGGACCTCCATCATTGAAACTAGGCACTTTGTTCACTTAAGGTCGGCCCTAAATGGGCCAGAGTTGGGCCACTAAATCTGAAAGCATTGTCGTCGTAGTAGCCCTCAATATCCTTCAAAGGTTCGTTGCTGTCAATGTATGTACAGTAGAAAGCGAGTAGTGAGAGAGAGAGAGAGAGGAGAGAGGTGTACCTGCTGAAGTAACCGTTAAATGGTAGTTATTATTATTTTTTTTAAACACGCCCAAAACCCGCCAAGCTCGCTCTTTTTATAATGAAAAATCTCCCATCGATTAACAGATTCGAAAAGCACCAAAAAGATGAGGCATTACCAAGTGATATTCTTGATTTTCTGCTTCTTCCCGAGTTACTTTCTTGTGCAAAGTATAGAGATTTTGTCGAAATCGAAGCTTGAAAGATGCGAGAAAGCCACAGATTCTGATAATAATCTCAATTGCACCAGAAAAATCGTTTTAAACATGGCCGTTCCCAGCGGTTCTGTAAGTTAATTTTAATTAATTATTGTTTAATTATCGAGACTAATTAATATTGTTATTTTTCTTGACAAAAAGCCCCAATTCCTCTCGTTTTGGTGTAGAGTGGTGGAGAGGCGTCGATCGTGGCGGAAGTAGCAGAAGTGGAGGAGAATGCAACTAACTTGATGGAAACAGTGAGAGTACCGCCGGTGATAACAATCAATAAAACGGCTGCGTATGCTTTATATGAACTCACGTATATACGGGTGCGGTGCTTTCTTTTTTACTTAAAAACACATGGCTAAAAATCATTTGTGGTTTTGATGCTCATTTGATTTGGTGATAAGTTAATTGGTTGGGTCAATGGCGTGATGTGTGAAATTGATGATTGAAATTTGTAGGATGTTGTTTATAAACCTGAAGAGTATTATGTTAAGACGCGCAAGTGTGAACGGGATGCCGGTGCAAATGTTGTCAAGATATGCGAGAGGCGAGTTATTTCTTGATATCAAAAGTGGAATTTTTTTTTTTTTTTTTAATTTGTAGGCTAGTTATTCTAATTGGCAACATTCATTCATCATGCTTAGAGACAGTAGTGTTAAATTTAGTTTTCTTGTTGGTGCATTGCTCAATTGTTTGGTTTTTTGTGCTCGTCAAGTTTCCTTTGTCCCTTGTTGTTTTGCTAATTTGTTAAAGCATATGAGCAGCCTCTTGAAAGAAAATTTCAAAGTGTTGTTTTTCTCCTGTTCGTTATATAGATACTATTGGTGATCAACCAACATTTGCATGAAACGGCTTTTTCATATTTCTCATAGAAATCAAAGATTTTAGGTTCATTTGGACTGTTTCTTAAATCGTTTTCTTCTTGTACTGGAAGATGGTGTTATAGAGATGTTGCAAGTTGAGAGAATAGCTTCCATTCTTTTGTGTATATGCTTACTGGACTAACTGCCTTAGGGTAACTATCTTGTAGGTTGCAAGATGAAAATGGCCATGTTATTGAGCATACTCAGGTGGCATTTCTGATTTCTTGAACCTCATTTGGATTCCACACGCACCCACCCCACACTTGTACATGCATGGTTAGTAGTACATGGTTTCATAGTGGATTTTGTTGCACATATTTAAAGTCAACCTAGGTAGCAAATTAAACCTATTCTGTAAACAGTACTCTATATGCAAAAGTTTACTGTTTGTGTTGGTGATATAATATTCTCTTTTTGTTTACATGTTTTATTACTATTTATTCTTATCTCTTCCTTTCTCTTCTTTCTATTCTGCTTAGCCAATCTGTTGTCCTTGTGGACCCCAACGGCGGGTACCTTCATCATGTGGAAACTTTTGTAAGTGCCTTTTGATATGTTCGGCATTCTCAGTTTACCACATAAGATGCCGATTGCAATTTTATGATCAATGTATACCTTTGTTTTGAGCAGTCGACAAATTGATGAAAGGGAAGGCCAATACTGCACACTGTGTCAGATTTCCAGGTGATTGGTATGGCCTTTAGGCTATGTTGTTTTTCCTTTTGATGTTTCTTTGGTAGTAAAACCCCATCCAATCATTAAAAAGTAGTATGAGGACATGCAATGTGGTTTTTTGTTAGATCATTAATTAATATTTGATTATAGATGTTAGAAGTGGTAATTCATGCCTATCTGCTGATGAATACAGATGGGTGTCAATAAGCAAGTTGGGCACAAATTTTTCTTATTGTATTTCGATTCTTTATGATATAAATATTTACAATCTTTTCACAGTTTACGCATATGAAAAATATTCAAAGCATCCACTGTTTTTTGTTGGCATCCTCATTTTTTGCTGAACGTGACATGTTTCATGCATGGATAATATGGTTCTAAGAGGAATCTTGTAATGAATTTGTAATTTTGGAATGTTTTAGCCCTAGTATGAGTGGTTAATATCATTTCCATGAATATTATTAAACAACAGTTAATAGATCATTATTTGGTCTTATATTTGCTGGTTAATTGCTGTCTTTCGTGCATATATTTCCTTCTAACTTTTACAAGTGTTTGCTTTTATGCAAAGCTAATATTTCATCGTTCACTTAGGTTCCATGTTTTTGGTATTGGACAGCGATCAATAGGTTTCAGTGTACGAATTGAGGTGAAGACAGGATCTAAAGTTTCGGTATGTTGTTTCTCTCTACATCAATTTCCCCTGTATACGGACTCTTTTAACAGTTCTTTTTTTTTTTTTTTTTTTCCACTCAGCTTCTGCTCTAGAAATGCTTATTGGAGCATATGCCTGCTTAACTTGTTTGCAATTACTTGCCATGGGAGAAAAAAAAAAAAACTTTATTCCTGGTCTAAACAAAACATGAATGAGGGCTTCTGACGTGATACTGAAATAAATGTTCTGCTAGTCTGTTGCACATTTGATGGTAGAGTACATAGTATGGTCCTGGCATGATTTCATGTTTTTGTTTGTTTTATTTCACTCAGCTTCTGCACTATAATTGCTCATTGGAGCATATAACTGTTTTAGTTGTTTGCATTTACTTGCGATGACAGGGGAAAAAAAAACTTCATTCATAGTCTGAGTTAAACATGATTGAGGGCTTCTAACGTAATATTGAAATATATGTCTCTCTGGTTGGTTGTGCATTTGACGGTACAGTACATAGTGCAGGCCTGGCTTCATTTTCATTTTTTTTTATATAAAAGTTCATTTTTTCTTATTTCCTTACTTTTGCAAGTGAAACGAAGTTATTTTTTCTTCCCACTTTCCCCCCATCTTTTCTCTACATTTCAATAATAAAATGTCATAGCTACTGTTAAGTTGTTGCACTTTTGCACTCAAATGGAATTGTTTGAGATTTAGTTGGATGGTATCTCATACTTCTTGTCTTATTCTCCCCAATATTAAAAGTCCATGATAAAAATCCTATAGTTGAAAACTTTCTTGGTTTTTGCTTGCAGGAAGTTACTGTGGGCCCTGAAAATAGAACAGTAACATCCAAGGATAATTTCATAAGGGTTAATCTCATTGGAGATTTCGTCGGATACTCGAATATTCCATCATTTGAGGACTTCTACCTTGTCATTCCAAGGCAGGTATGCTTCCCTCGCTAATATCATTAACATGGAAGTGCGCTAGCTCAAGAGGAAAGAAGCAAGACTTTTTATCAAGCTATTCATGCACGCCCACTTTTCAAGATGTTTTTCTTAGAAATAATCTGTTACCAATAGGATATAACACAATGGTAATGACATCGATGGGAAAGGGAATGATATGCAATTCAATCTTTATCATTGTATCCCTCATGTTATGGTCCCGAGACAAAGATTGTGTCACAGGTCTGTGTATAGGAAAATCCTCTCTCTTTCCCTTGTTTTGGTTCCCTCTTTCCTAGAGAAACCTATTTTGAAAGTAACAATGGAGGTTTGTCCTTAAGAGACTTCCAAATTCTCCTAAACTTTTTGTTTATAATTCTTTCAATATCTTCATTCAATATCCATCTTCCCTTTATATAGTAGAGGAGTCTTAAAAGCAAATACAAACATAAAAGGCTATTGCCTAATCTGACTCAAAAATACATAGAAAGTCTTAAATAAAATACCACACAATTAGGACTCTTATATCCATTTTCCCTAATTAACTGGTCTTGACTTATTCTTATTAAATAATAAATAAAGAAGCAGTAGATATCCTTCAATCTTAGTTTTCCTCTTTACACTGTTACCTTCTTTTGTACTGTTGATCAACAAATGCATTTGCAACATTACTCCCCTACTGGACACTGAGCTTGTTTTAAAGCTCAAAATTAGGATAAGACTCCTGTAAGAATGTGATAGGCTCCCATGTAGCATCCTCAGTTGGCAGACTTAGCCGATAGACCAACACCTCACGTATATCGTGGTTCAGCCAGGAGATCCACAAAGGGGGCACCTCTAATTCCTCGTCAGAGTCATCCACCATAAAAAAAAGGCGTTTACATCAGTGCTCAGCGAAGTATGTCTCATCACAGTTGTAAACACAACCTTTTTGCTTTTCTCTCTGCCATCTCTCCCCTGGACAATTTTTAAGAAAAGGGTTTGTGAAACTACCTTTGCCAGATATGATAGGTGCACTGTCCCTCATCGATTTTGATTCATAGGTTACAGTGTTTGTAGAAGCCGAACTTATTGTTTTGGGAGGAAACCAGTTAGAAGGAAGGTGTCTCACTCCATTTCGATAGGTGAGTTGCAGTTTCCGGTTGAAAACCTGAGCTAAGTTCATAGTTGTAACCAGATTAGGAGGTTGCTAAATCTCCACCTCCACCTGTAATGCCTCTGTGAGTCCTGCGGTAAACAATTCAACTTGTTGATCAGAACTGACAGAAGTAGCCCTGGCTAGGAGTGTGTGGAATTGACTCTAATAGTTTTTCACTGTCCATTCTTGTTTGGGGTTAGTCAATTCTCCTAGTGGGTTGCTCCTCAAAGGAGGTCCAAATCGAAGACGACGGTAGGACTTGAATTGTCCCAATGTGAGCCGAGATTCTTCTTGGTCCACACGAACAAACCACAATTGAGCCTCGCCTGCAATTTGAAAAGCCTCCAAACCCACTTTTTCCTACTTCCCTATTCGTTGATCAAGGAAAAATTGTTCACACTAGTATAGCCATCCTAACCGGTCCTCTACTCGATTATAGGATGGAAACTATAGTTTGAAGTATCTAGGAATCACAACTGTCCTTACACGCCCTTCGTGATGTCCATGTGAGGTTTGATTATCTTTTGATTGCTATCGGATCCAATCTCACAATCTCAGGACTTACCCTTGCCTAGAGATTGCAATCTCAGCATGTGTTGAATGGCCTTCATATCGTCCCTCAACTCTTGTAACTCTTGACCAATTAGCTAATTAGACTCTATCATCCAACGATTCAGAATTGCACCCTGGTTGCCATCTATTCGTAATCACACATGACGACTGGTTTTGATACCAATTTGTTATGGTTCTGAGATAAGGATTGCATCACAGGTCTGCGTATAGGGAAATCTTCTCTCTTTCCCTTGTTTGGTTTTCCCTTTTCCTAGAGAAACCTATTTTGACAGTAAAAATGAAGGTTTGTCCTTAAGAGACCTCCAAACTCTCCTATATCTTTTTTTCTATAATTATTTCGATATCCTCATTCATTATCCATCTCCTCTTTACATATTAGAGGAGTCTTAAAAGCAAGTACAAACATAAAAAGCTATCGTCTAATTTGACTCACAAATACATAGAAAGTCTTAAATAAAATACCACACAATTACGAATTATATTTTTTTCCTAATGAATCGGTCCTGACTTATTCTTGTTAAACAATAAATAAAGAAGCAATAAAAATAAATATCCTTCCATCTTAGTTTCCCTCCTTACGTTGCTATCTTCTTTTGTACTGTTGACCAACAAATACATCTGCAACATTACTCCTCTCTTGGAAACTAAGCTTGTCTTCAAGCTCAAAATTAGGATAAGACTCATGCAGGTACATGATAGGCTCCCATGTAGCATCCTCGGGTGATACACCCAGCCAATGGACCAACACCTCTTTCCTCATTAGATTCATCCATCATCAAACAAAAAAGGCATTTACATTGGTGCCCAGCGAAGTATGTCTCATCACGGTTGTAACACAACCTTTTTGCTCTTCTTGCCATCTCTACCTTAGACAATTTTTTAAGAAAAAGGGTTTGTGGAACTACTTGCGCTAGATATCACAGGTGCACTGCCCCCCATCGATTTTGGTTCACAGGTTACAGTATTTGTAGAAGTCAAACCTGTTGTTTTTGGGAGGAAACCAGTTAGAATGAGGGAGTCTCACTCCATTTTTGCGGGTGAGTTCCAGCTTCCGGTCGAAAACCTGATCTAAATTCATAGTTGTAACTAGATTAGGAGGTTGCTGCATCTCCATATCCACCCGTAGTGCCTCTGAAAGTCCTGCGGTAAACAAATCAACTTGTTGATCAAACCTTACAAAAGTAGCCCTAGCTAGGAGTGTCTGGAATTGAATCCGATACTCTTCCACTATCCCCACTTGTTTGAGGTTAGTCAATTCTCCTAGTGGGTTGCTGCTCAAAGGAGCCCTAGTCCAAAGAAGACAATAGGACTTGAATTGTTCCAATGTCAGCCTCACCTGCCATGTGAAAAGCCGTCAAACCCACTTTTTCCTCCTTCCATATTCATTGATTAAGGAAAAATTTCTCACACCATTATAGGATGGAACTCCAATTTGGAGTATCTAGGAATCACAGCCATCCCTGCATGCCCTTTGTGATGTCCAACGTGAGGTTTGGTTACTTGTTGATTGCTACTGCTGGATCCAATCTCACAATCTTGGGACTTACCCTTGCCTAGAGACTGAAATTCCAGCATGTGTTGATTGGCCTTCATACAGTCCCTCAACTCCCATAACTCTTGACCAATCAGCTGACTGGACTCTGTCATCTGACGATCCAGATCTCGCATCCTAGTTGCCATCTGTTCGTAATTGATACCAATTTATTATAGTCCCAAGACAAGGATTGCGTCACAGGTCTGTGTATTGGGAAATCCTCTCTCTTTCCCTTGTTTTGGTTCCCCCTTTTCGTAGAGAAACCTATTTTCACAGTAACGATAAACGTTTGTCCGTAAGAGACCTTCAAACTCTCATGAACCTTTTTTGTTATAATTCTTTCGATATCTTCATTCAATATCCATCTCTCTTATATATAGTGGAGTCTTAAAAGAAAATATAAACATAAAATGCTATTGTCTAATCTGACTCACGAATACATAGAAAGTCTTAAATAAAATACCACACAATTAGGGCTCTCATATCTTTTTCCCCTGATTAACTAGCCCTGACTATTTCTTATTAAATAATAAATAAAAAAGCAATGAAAATAGATACCCTTCCATCTTACTTTCCCTTCTTACGCTGCTGTCTGCTTTTGTACCGTTGACGAACAAATGCATCCGCAACACACACACACACCGTTGTAAATGTAAAATGCTATAGTATTGAGAGTTTCTTATTTTGTCGTGGAAGGGTGAACCTGGACAGCCACAAGATCTGGGAAGGAATTTTTCAATGTGGATGCTGCTTGAGAGAGTGAGATTTACCTTAGATGGTGTTGAATGCAACAAAATTGGTGTCAGTTATGAGGCTTTCAGTGGACAGCCCAACTTCTGTGCTTCACCATTTTGGAGTTGCTTGCATAATCAGTTGTGGAATTTCCATGATGTTAGTTTGTCAGCTAGTAGTGGTCTCTGTAATTTGTATCCTCATTCTAGCCTCTCCTAGTCCCAGTTTCTGTAACTTGAATAGTTTTCTTTGCATTGAGCTAAGAAAACTACTTATTTACGGCAGGCTGATCAGAACCGAATTAGTAGGAAGCAGGTGCCACTATATGGCGTGGAAGGAAGGTTTGAAAGGATAAACCAGCATCCAGTTATGTTTCTGCAATTGGAGATCTGATGTCTAACAATATATAAATTATTTGAATTTTGTAACTAATTTGATTCAACTGCAGAATGCAGGGACTCATTCGTTCTCCATAGGAATTACTGAAGTTCTTAACACAAACCTTTTGATAGAACTAGCTGCTGATGACATTGAATATGTTTACCAAAGGTTGATATCTATACTTATTTTTACTGCTGCAAGTTTCTGATGTTAAAAGGGTTTAACCAAAGGCGTTATTTTAAACAATAGGCGATAAGCTTTTAATATGCAGCATGGACTGTCAGTTCCTGGCTTCAAAATTGATGCCATGCTCTGTTTGGTTTGTGGGTTCATGGGCTGTTGCTCCATCTGTATATGATAAGCTATGTGCAATGATGGTTCATGGATTATTAATTAGCTAGAGAGTCCGGGTTATTGCTAACTTGTTTACTCTAGCATGATCATTATTGCGAATATCTAAAATCACTTTTATGTCGACTTTTTCTTGGCCATGTTTATGAGTTGCAGAAAAGAAAAGACATACGGTGCAACTACTGGTATAAATTTGTACAATAGTGCAGTGAAATTGGTTACAACAACTTGAAAAGATTAGGGAGGGAACTTTCTTTTCTGTAGCATTCTTATCATCTGTGCAATTCAACAACTTTTTAGTTATGGCATTGCTTGTGCGTGTCACCATGCTTCTATATAGATGTCCAATTGTTGAGCTTCATCTCCATTCTTTTGCAGGAGCCCAGGAAAACTTTTAAACTTCACCATCCCAACATTTGAAGCCCTTACTCAATTTGGAGTTGCTACAGTCTCTGCTAAGAATATTGGGGAAGTGGAAGCATCATATAGCTTAACGGTATTTTAAACATTGCCTTGCCATATTTGGTCATGATGCTAAAATGCTTAAACATGACACATGTTGATGCAATATTTACTTCTATGCGAACCACGATGCTATGAGATAATGATATGTTTCTGTTGATTATATTCTGTAGGCTGATGCTTTTCCTTGTTCTTTGGTCAGTTGTTGAGAATTATATATACCAATTTTTAACATCTTTACTTTTCGGGTGCATTTTGTCCTGCATTATGAAGGTTTTTTTGTGCTACATTTCACATTGACAGTATTTCAAAAATGGAAATAATAAAATTAAGCAGTTTCTAGAATCTCCACAAAATATTATGTTTTGAAATCTTCTTTTATGGGGTGGTTGATGTTGATAGTATTGAAATATGTGAGAAAGTGAAAGGACAAGATCTAAGTCATGTGTGTTGATGAAAGTATTTGACTGGGATGAGAGTTCAAATCAGATGTTGATATATACATACAATCATTATGTCATGTGATGCTTTAAGAGTAGTTGCCGCAACACAATCTACTTTAGCTATTATGATAATTGTCTCCTCCTTGCAGTTTGATTGCTCAAGAGGTGTTTCGCTCATGGAGGTAACATTAACTTCCATATTGATCATAATTCCTAACCATTCACAAAAGATACATTCCTATTTCAATGTTTCTCAATGGTTGCAGGAACAATTCTTCATTTTGAAGCCGAACGAGATTACAATTCGGTTATTTAAAATCTACCCCACAACTGATAAAGCTGCGAGATATGTATGTGCTGGTAAGGTTAATTAATGGTTTTATTGCAACTTTTCTTGTCATTGTGAGTGATAACTATGGTAGCAAAGAAATCTGAAGTCTTAATTATTGTGCTTTAATGCAGCGATTCTGAAGGATTCTGGTTTTAATGAAATTGATCGAGCAGAATGCCAATTTTTTACTACTGCTACCATCCTTGACAATGGATCACAGGTTTGGGGACACTTACAGAATTGTTTTTATCCAGTATGTTCATTAAAATTTACCTAGCAAGTGGTTGATTTCCTACCCATGCAAGCAAGATTCTACAAACACTTTCTTATGTGAAGGAGTAAAAGGATTTGAAACTGATGGTAGCAAAATAAGAAAAGCATATAGAAAATGGGTATGTCATATGTGAGAGTATGTGTAGCTAAATGGAAAAATTATATAACTGCTGCTAATATTTATCCATTAGGGTTCATTAGCGTATTTTTGTTTCTTATGGTGTGGCTGAAAGCTTCCAAGTGATTGTGTTTGCCATTCAATGGCTTTCCATTTCGGCTTCTCTTTGATCTACATTTTTGTGTCATTCTTATAAGAATTTCTGTTTAGAATCAATGCTGTCTTGATTGCTTTTTTTTTTTTTTTTTTTTTTTTGCAAATGTAATTAAATATCTCCTAACCATAGACCCGACAAGAAAAGGCCAGTAAAGGGGGTTATAGAGACCGGCTAAAATCTGCCATTTCATAACAGTTTGATGAAAGAGTTGGAGTTTTCATGCCTAAAAAATTTAAAAAGGCTATTTGCTCATATATTAGTGACAGTGCAGATTATCAGAATTTACTTATTAGGAGGTGTTTAATTTCATCAAATTCTCAAAATATCTTATGATAATATAACGTGTTTATAGACTGTTTCTGCAGACACTGGCGCATGCTGTTTTAGTTTAGCAAATTATTTTGTTGCATCTTTGGTCAAATAATAAGGGATGCTGATGAATTATGTGGCAGTACACTTATGTGATTGAATTAACCACGTAAATCCTGAACTTTTTGCAGATTGCTCCCTTCCAACCACCAAAGACCAGTATAAATGGTTTCTTTGAATCTATTGAAAACATTTGGAACAGAATTTGGGAAGGTTTAGTAGACTTCATCACTGGCAAAACTTGCAGGTACTTGTCCATTGAATTGGATTAGGATGACAAGAAGGATTTTTTTGTAATGAGTTTCTATTTTTCTATGCTTGTTGATGAGGACCTGGATGCATTGGGCTCCTTTTTTTTTTTTTTTTACCATGTCATTAGAATTTTTTTTTCCCCCTTACACAGTCCTTTGTCTTGTGCACATCCATTTATCTGTAATTTTGCATTTTCCTTGATATTATGAGCTTAAATGCTTGAAGTGCATAAATATTGGTGAATTGTACATGAAATTTTGCTGGTATTGTGGTGAAATAGAAAGTTCCGTTTGACATACTAAATTTTGAAGGCTGTAGTCTTTTTTATTTTGCTGCTCAAATCAAGCCCACTAGACTTGCATTTACTGATTTTTTTAGCTGTCTAGTTGAGCTCACGAGATCTTGTTCTTTTTTTTAGGTCTTGCAACTGTTATGCTACTGATATATCTTATGTTCTTTTTACGGGCAGACAGAAATGCTCCAGTTTCTTTGATTTCAGTTGTCACATACAATATGTATGTATGAGCTGGATGGTGATGTTTGGTCTACTTTTGGCTATTTTTCCAACAGGTAACACTTTCCTTCTTCAAGGAAAAGTAAAGTTTATACAAGACTGGACCATTATTTTTTCTTGTTCTAACAAGGAACTCATGCTACATTTTGCTTTTGAGTTCCAGTGCTTGTGCTGCTATGGCTTTTGCATCAGAAAGGACTTTTTGACCCTCTTTATGACTGGTGGGAAGATCATCTTTGGACTGACGAGCAGAGAATCAGAGATACTCGGAGACACAATAAAAATACTCATTTGAATAGACATCGTGAGTTGGGAGCAAGACAACACAAGCATAATGCATACAAGCGAAGAAGCATTCATCAGGAGCATAGGCATAGGCATTCAGGAAGGGATACAGATTACTATCATTATCTTCACCATGTCCACAAGGACAAGAGTAAACACAAAGGAAGTGAAAAATCAAGTGTCATGCAGAAAGTCTATTTGGATGGAGTGGAGAATACCAATATCGGATATCACAGACACAAAAAGGAAAGAGATCATGGAAGGACTGTTTGAATGAGCAGTCAATCAGTCATGGGGAAGAAAACTTAAGAGAGTGCAGAATTGGGCTATTAGATGATTTACAATTAATGTTGCTAGCTGAGCAGACCGAAAATTTGGGGCATGAATCATGTTACCTTACCGGTTATCTACTTATAGAAGATCAGATTGACTTTCTCTGGTTTAGTTTGTTTCTTTTGGGGGAGTGTACATGATATGGAGTTCTTTGATGTGCAATTGCAATAGTGGCAGCTGTTTTTCATGGAAAGGATGAGACTGATTCATTTACACTAATTTTTAAAAGTAAATCTACATTGTGATAAGTGTGTATATAACATGCCTGTGACCTACTTTGTTTTACAGAAATTATGGGATGCATTTGGTCTTGATCAAAACTGTAGGTTTATGATTATCTCCGCTTGAGGAGTGAAAACCAGAGCTCCCTGTTCCTTCTGTACAGTATCTAAATATTACATCAACCATGACCCTCTCTCGCAGCTTGTCGATTGCAATTGCGGTGGATAAGATCCCAGTTTGAATTTCAGTATTATGCCGCTAGCCATAGGCATGACTTGCCTGTTATCTTTCTGGTGTATGATTATGTAGAGTTGTACCTTTTGTCTCTCTCCGTGAGCTGAATTTGATAACCACTTGGAAATTGTAAACCAGGAGTTCGAACAATATTTCCTCCTTTGATTGCTTGCCACCTGAAAAGTTTAAATCATAATGAACGTTATTCTCTCTCACTGTCTCTCTCTTTCTCTCAATCTCCCTCTCACACAGGGACTCTTTGCACACTCACAATGAGCATTCACAGAAACACTAGCAATTGCCCATTACCTGGACTTTGTGACCAAGCAATGTAGAAAGACGGCCATCTGCACCTTGGTAAACTCTGTTCCAACACAAAATCTCATGCCGCCACCAAAAGCCATGAAATTTTTGGATGCACCATTGAATTCCATTCCCTGTACGACATAGTAGATTCATTATAATGGGAAATTCGTGGTGACTACGAGTGTAAGAACTCATTTTAGTATTGAAATGTCCGCCAAGTGATCAAGTAGAGAGGATTCTCAAATACAAACCCACCTCCCATCTCCATGGATTGAAGGCAAGTGGGTCTTCATATTTTGCAGGGTTTAAGTGTACTGCAGGGGGACAGACCATTATTGCCCAACCTGCTGGAATGGTAAATCCTGCATCAACGCCAATTTATATTATACTTTGAATTGCATATAGCATTCTTTCCGTGAACAAGACTTGGTGCACTACAGTAACTGACTCATGTATTGCTAGTAAACACGTACCCTTAAACTGGATATCTCTGAGTGCTTTTCTGAAGATCCCTGGAACTATGTTTGCCAGTCTAACCGTTTCATTAATAACCTGCAAGTTGAACTCGTCAGTTTTTAATATGACAGAAGCTACTATCATGATATCAGACCGTGTGACGAACTGCTTGACCCACCTGAAATGTGAATTTCATTGATTTGTATTCCTTCCATGTAAGACCAGAGTTGGCATTTTCCCGATTTTTTAGGATTTCCTCGTGTTCTTCCTGAAGAAGTGTAAACATCTAGAGCATGTTAGGTTTTGAAGCACAATAGAAAAATTATGGAGAAATACAATTTTAATAACTTTCTTACAGACCGTTAATTTCTTTAGCACCAATGGATGATCCGAGAGAAACTTGACCGCTAAAGTTAGAGCCAAAGAAGTTGTTTCAAAGCTGGCAAATAGCAGCACGAACATTAAATCAAGAGCAATTTCCTCTGTAAGGATTGTTCTGTCCTTTTGAAGTTCTTCAAGCACATAATCGAAAAAATCACTCTGGTGCTTTCTCGGATTTGCTCGTCTTTCCTGTAGCAGGTTCTTTAGCATTCTCATTGCCTTTTTCCTACCCTGAGAATTTACAGAGCAGTTAAGACAAAAAAAAATAGGACAATATTATTAGGAAATGTGCAGCTTCCATTTGCAGAATTGATTTGGTGCTTGAGTGGCAGTATTTTAATCTATTCTGGATTTTTTATTGTGGCTCTCGCAAGCATTTTGGACCCGCTAATTTGCTTCTAGCTGGCCTGACCTTCTACTTTGCTGATGCTCAAGTATTGCTAAGAGAATGAAAAGATGCATTCATATGATTAGCATAACAGATTTCAGTTTACCTGTAAGCATTCGTGATATGCTGTTCCTGGAATGTCCAAAGGGAAGGAGATTAATCCTTGTATGAATGCAACAAAGTTTTCCCTTAGATTCTCTGAAGAATTTTCTTGATCATAACTTATGAGCTTCTTTGCTGTCAGATCGAATATCATCTGTAAATATCAAAATTGTTATTAGATTCAGTGAAAACAACTTTCGACGACAATTATTATGAGAAGAGGGATAGTATGAGATTACAGTTGCAGTTGCTTCTTTTAATTCGACTGATTCCTGATGAGACCAAAGTTGTAATCTCTTTGATGTTGTCTGTTCAACTTCAGGGAGCATTTTCTTAAGGCTTTCAGGACCAAAGAGATTAAGCACCATATTCTTAAGATACTTGTACATGATCCCATGTAAGGAACCGACATTTTGCCTTCCAAAGATCTCTGTGAATGTATCTGGATACCAACTCTGGAACAATTGGCCTTCTTGCTGGAAGATAAAGTAATTGAGATCCGGGTCTGTTGATACTACAACTGGCCTTCCAACCAAATTAGTCCTGAATATTGGTCCATATCTGAAAGCAACAGAAAAAACTTCAGAAGGAATGATGGAGATGATGATTGCACAACTTCTTGAACAAGCTGGTGATTCATAATAACTTTACCTTTTCATCCTCTCTCTGATGAAGGGAGGAATATCACAAGAAGTATTAGGAGCGAAGAATTGAAGAGTCTCGCCAATAAGTGGCAATCCCATTGAACCAGGTGGAAGAGTGCCATTGCATCTGGGGTTTCTCCAGCGGTAAATCCAATGTGTGATGCTTATAGTAATCAAAGCTCCAAAAAACACAGCCCACATCTTGATCAAATATAAGTGTCCAAGTATAGAGAATGAGAAGTTCTTGGATTGAGAAGAAGATTATAATGTTGATATGTTTTTGACAGACAAGGGAAATGGAAGGGTAAGATTACTCGAAATGAGAAGAGTTCGAGGTAGGAAAGATGGGGAGAATAGACAAGAAGGAGAAGAAAATGCTGGCATGTATCTCAGCAACCATTAGGAATCATCTTAAATAGGCAGGGCATAAATTAGAAGCAGACAGAAAGATAGTAGTACTAACTAGTTTTAGCTCTATTTGTTTTTGTTAAGTTGCTCAAAAAAGTAGTAGTTGAATATAGAATAGAATAGCTTAAAAATATTCTGTCTAGAGACCTCTTATTATCCTATGTCAACGGTTTCTATAAGTTTGGGTTAAGAGCCTAGCATGACCATGAAGCTTACAAGATGTTTCCTCTGTCTCTGCAGATTTTTTGTTTTTTTTTTTTTTTGGTTTTTTTTGTTTTTTTTGTTTTTTTTTTTAAAGTTTATTGGCATTAGGATAAGTAATCCATGTAAAACAAAACTGAAGCACGAGGGCAGAATTTTGGCCTTTTTTAAGGACATTATGCAGCAGAAGAAGGGCTCTTCCCTAGATTTGAGAGGATAGAGATAGCGGTTCAAAGGATCTGTCTGACATAACCAAGTGTCTGAAACCAATCTTCAATACGTCATTAAATACTAAAATCTAATGGCGTTCACCAACTTCTCGGAGTCTTCCTGATATCTTTGCTAAATACTCCAGTATCTGTGTGATGTTATATATTGCCAGAAAGAGATGCCTCACATGTTCTTTCTTTTACTTATATTTTGTTAGAATTAGATCACATCCTAGATCTTCTTTAGCTGTGTAATCATTTGTTCAAATTGTTAAATGAGAATGTCAAACTCTAAATCTCATTGCGTACATCACTATTGATATTTTGTTGTGTGCTCTAGAAATGTATGCAAACCACTGTATATGCTTTTGCTCTCATTTCTTGGAAATAATTTCTGGGAAGTAGGTATACTATAAGCTAGTTGATCAGGTTAACCGATTTCGACACATAGAGCACCGCCCCCACCGACCCATTGAGCCACGGACCAGACCACCTTGCAACAACTACTGCAAATGTAGGTAGGTTACTGTGAATCATGACCCTCCATTATATGCAACCAGATTATAAAATTGGTTTCTATGTGTCACAATAATGTCTTATTGAACTTGCTTAATTTGCATGAAGTTCATTCAATCAAGACTTGGAACTGGATAACACCAATGTGGAGACTTGAAAACTTTGTCTGCTAATGGACTTTCTTTTTTATTCCTAAATTTAGTAAGTGAAGTCACAGCCCATCTGCTGTTATTAAGCTGTAAAGACGGTGCTATTCTGAGCATGTAGGCACATCTTTTTTAATCAAATTTTGTTTTTTATGTCTTGAATGGTAACTTGTGAAAGGAAAGTTTCTCATACCTGTCAAAAAGAGGGTATACACAAGATAACACTAGAGTGTGACAAGGAACAGCTTTAGTTTACTCTCTCCATTCTGTCTGAGATTGGTTTAGGAAATCCTTCCATTTCTGTAATCCAAACGCATCGATTTTTATTTATTTATTTTCCTGGTTAGAGTCTCTTTAGTGCAGAAAAAGTTCAAAATAGTTGGATAGGTTCTTAGAGAAAATGACACAGATTGTTGAACTGCTTGGAATGGGGTTGGAAAGAGTCTGTTTTGAGGGGATGCACAACAATGACAGCTCAGTTTCCATACAATAATACTATGAAGTCAAAGTATTATGTTCTCTAGTCCCAAAAGTAAGGTTTTTCTAGTAACTTTCACAATTTTCATGTCTGGTGTAGAATCGGGAGAAGTAAGAGCTTTCAGGGTCCTACCTGTCTTCGTTGTCTAGGGTCATAAAAATCATAGGTGGTAAGTGGCATCCCACATGCAGAGGGTCCACAACGGGGTGATCTACTACTACGTCAGTCCACTGGATGGAACTACACCACCCCTAGCTTTCTTTTCTAATGATCCAACGGTTCATGATCATCAAAGTTGTTGACTTTGAATTAATCTATTAAAAGAAATTAATTGGTTGATTAGTTGTTTCCCTCTTCATATTCATAACACGTGTCTGTGGGCAGGCCCAATCCAGCTGTGTCTTAATGTTGATTTTTCAGGATTTGTTCCGTATATTGAACGAAATTTATACTACTTGGTGTATATGTTGAACAAGATACGTGATAGAACAAACTATAGTATTGTATTTGATGTACAATTTGAACATAACAATGATTAATCTATTTATAGCTCATTTATTTTTTAGTTTTGATTGATTAAAGTTTGACCAAATTCATATGTACTTATTAAAATGAATTATTCCATACAGGGGCTTAATTGCAAAAAAAAAAAAAAAAAAAAAAAAATTCTGATTTTGGGACTACATTTATTTATCAAAAAATCAAAAGACCTAAAACTTTTATTAAGAACTAGAATGCTATTAAAACTAAAATACTAAAAAAGCTGTTTAAAAATTTCAGAGACCAAAATGATTTTTTTTTTTGGCAAAAACTGCAGTCATTCTTGTCTTGTCCAGTAACAAGCGTCAAGGAATATATATATATATGGTACATTCCGTACAATTTTTATCTATTGTAAAGTGTCAATCATGTCTAGTCTACTCCAATCCAATTAAATTCATTTATCATGTCCTATTTAACATACCAAATGCATTCCTAAATTATGATATATATTATGAACAGTGTACATGGATTTAGTTGTTTTGTTTTAACTTTTAGCAGTGTATCAAGGTGGTTAAGTTCCAAAATGTATAACATGGGGTTTTAGGGTAAGGGATGTGTATGCGAAAGTTTTCTTTAATTTGATTAATGAAGTATATATCATTTAGTGGAAGCATAAGAACATGAATAATTAAGACTTGTACGTACAATCGAAGGGGAGGTATCAACTTGTTAATTAATATATAGCTGATGATATGCAAATAATGTGGGAAGCAAGGGATCATATATACCTGCATGCTGTTGCTTAGTAAATGGTTTATGTACAAAATTTTAAAGGTAATAATGCAGGTGGTGAGATACACGAGGATGAGAGGATTATGGAGAAAGTTGTTCCTCCTGTCTGTGCCGTGCGCCTAGGGAATGAGCACTAATATTTAAATTACAGTACAAGTAAAGAAAAGTGCGTAAAAAAACAACTTTTCTTGACTGAGATTTGGAAATAGGATTCAATAAACAGTTATGTTTAGTCAAAGGACATAACTATTTTTAACTGTTTTGTGAGTGATTCATATTTTTTATTTTACAACTTAATGGTTTATAAGGAAAGGGTATGAAAGAACAAATATATATATAATAGCTAAGCACATTATTAACTTACCTCATAAATTGGTATCTCTATATGGTTTGAATATGTAATAGCTAGATTTTGTTTTATAGAACATCATGATATAGTTGTATTATCACGTGTAAATACATAACTCATTCGTAATCGAGTTTTGTATAGATCGGATAAATAATATGTATCCGTATAATCAATTAATCATGTTTTTGATTTATTGGAGTTTAATAAGCTCATATCAATTGTTTCTCGGAGATAACGTAGTATTTATTTAATTCCATTATAACATCTTCGTGTTGGAGCGGAACTATATTTTGTTAATAAATTTACGAAAGTGCTATATCGGACTCGGTATTATTATCAAAATATATTAATGCACCACTAACACTAAGATATAGTATTTTAGGACCAAATAGTTTTTAGTTATCTTTTCCATATCAAAAAAGATCTTTTTGGATATCAAGTAAACGAATTATCATCGAGCTAACCAATAGATGAGCTTTCTATAGAATTATTGCAGAAATTTTTTTATATAAATTAGAATTTTTTTTTATATAAATTGATTGATAAATAAAAATTTTATTCTCTAAGTGCTTAAACTGCAGGTCGAGATAACATTTTGTTTTCCCAAGGTATTCACATCAAATTCTCTTTTTAGATAACTTATGACATTTGAAATCTCTTTAGGAGTTTCAATAATATTTAAGTCATCAACATATACAACAAACCCCTTTTCGAATAAAAATACATGAATAAATAGGGATATTTTTATAACTTTCTTTCAATAAATATTTATTGAAGCAATTATACCACATGCACATAGGTTAGTAATAAAGAGTAAATATTGAAAAATAAAAAATAAATATAAAAAATATAGCATAAATTGAATTTTTAAAAACTAAAATAATTTCGATAGAGATTTTTATAATTTAATCGAATTCATTTTTCGAGAATATGTATGTTTTAGGTAAAGTCCTTTTAGGACTTTCATATAGATATCATTTTAAATGAATAAATAAACCGTGATCACATTCGGTGAATGCATGCATATAAAGTTTTTCACATTTTTTTTTTCAAGCTAACGAGACACCGAATTGTAATAGCATCAATTTTAGGAGAATATATCTCTTCATAGTCAATGTTAGGTCTTTGTGAAAATACTTATGTTATAAGTATTGCTTTGTATCTCATAATCTCATCTTTCTTATTTCGTTTTCACACAACTATCCATTTGTATCTCATTGGCTAAATATCTTCGATTGTTTTGATTGTGAGTTTAAAAACTACTCATTTGTAAGAGAATATAATTATCTTTAGATTGCTCTTTTCATTTAGGCTAATCGTCTCTATATCGACATTCTTCAATAAATTTAGGACTAGGATTCTTATTTTCATTCAAAATATCAATTGCAACATTATATGCAAAAATCTTATCAATAAATATTTCTTTTTGGTCTATTTTCTTATTGTATTGACATAATTTATCAAAGTTTCTTGATTTTTCTCAAGCATCCGGATTTCTTTCGAAGCCTATTATCGAAATATCTTAAACCATTTTATGAATATTTGCATCCTTTATTTATTATCTTTTCTTTTCTTTTAGGGATTTTTGCTTTTAGAATTGATTGGTATTTTATGCTTCA